TCAAAAGTCCACATTGCCCGTTCCTTTGCCCACGCTAATAGTCATTTCTTTTGTTTTTCCGTCAGCAACGGCTTTTCTATTGCCTAAACCAATGATTGCACTGCATAAATATAAGATTTTCCTTAAACGTAACCTACGTACCTTATAAAAATGTAAACCAGACTTATGTATCCAGCGACGACACGTTTCTCGTGAAACATTTCCAATTATTTCTTCATTCCATTTTGCTGTTATTTCCCTTACAGTACTTCGGCGATCAGTTTTACAAATCCGAACAAGAGATCTTTGCATTCGGGAAGTGACTTTGCGTTGCCGACCAGCACCATGTCTTGAAATTTGAGTTGAACCCGTTTCTGACAATATCTGACACCGTGAACTTTGCGACATTTATTTGTTTAGCAATATCCCGAAATGTTTTTCATTGGTTAAACAGTTTTACTATTAATTCTCTAATTGCACCATTTGTTGCTTTACCACGCGACATTTTGGAGCCAATTGATTAATTCTCAAGTTAAAATGTCAAAATAGAAACACTTTTTTTGTTTCCATGGCTTGCTATTATTTGTTTTACTAACGTGTCCGAACATTTATGTGTCAGCAAATATTGCATTTTTATCAACATTAGTTTAGTTTTATTAATCAATATTAGTTTATTTAAAAACAATTTTATAAATATGATGTAAACAATACATATTATGTCTTATAAATAAAAAACATATGATATTGAATCCCTTAAGAAAATTTTCAAACTTTTTCGCAAAATCAGTTGATGTCCGAACATTTTTGTGTTAGGACTCGTAATTTTAGCGCCCTCTATCGGAATAAAAAAAACCTGTAACGTATAACGTGTGACACTTCATTTGAAAGCCAATTTAAATACTAATTTAAAGCACAACAAAACATTAATATAAATATTTCCATATAGCACTGGCAACAAAATAAAGTTAGCAATAATTTTTAAAATAATGCATGACTAATTTTTGAACTATTGCAAGTGCCATATGGAGGATATTTTTATTAATGTTATGCAGGACATTAAATAAGTAATTAAATTTGCTTTCAAATAAGGTGCCAGACTTTATAATACGTAGTTTTTTATCCCGATAGAGGGCGGTGCAATTAAAAGTATCGCAATAAACAGTCATATTTCTAAATTCCCCATAAAATTACCCTTTTAATAATGTACTACACATCGTAGTATCACACTTTCTAATACGTAGTAGTTTTTTATCCCGCTAGAGGGCAATAAAATTTAAGTAACGCAATGTACAGAAATATTTCGGTATCCCCCATTAAATTACCGTTTCAATGATGTGCCATTCATGGTCAGAGCTGCTGTAAGTACCCGTAAAATGTATTTAAGTCTCAAGTACAAGTACTTTTGAAAATTGCGAGTAAATACCAGTACAAGTACAATTACATCTATTTGGTATTTAAGTACCTAGTAATTAAATCCTAAAATTTAAGTACATTAGCCTTAAGTACATAAAAACGTACTTATCTACTTTATAGAGTAGTTACCTTCTGAAATATACTTCAGTACAATGTAGGATAAATACATTGTTTACTTAAGTACCTATACAGATGTACTTAAGTATATTTAGGTTTAAATAAGTAATAACAAAACACTTAAGTACATTTGTGTTTACTTAAGTATATAAAAATAATAGATAATATATGCTGGTGTTAAGCTTAAAGACCTAAGTCAGCTCAATTTAAATTAATAGTATATTATGCAACGATCATGTAATGATGGTTATTAATAAACGAGCATTAACCGGGATACGAAACGAGCCAAATGCGAGTTTCGTATGGTTTAGGCGAGTGTATTAATAACCATTACATGAGAGTTGCATACGCTATTTTTTCTACACCCGATAAATAATCAAGAACTATAAATATTATATTTATATTGGTATTGAACACAATAACAGTAATTACTCGTATTTCTATAAAAAAATTCTACAAAATTGTAATTAATGGTATTACCTTGGGTATTGGTATTACCATAGATTTTTTGGGCAAATTATTGTGTACTGCATTTTCTCCTTTCTCCGATATGTGTGGAGGAGTCTTCTATATCGCTGATATCAGACATGTTGATAATATAATTATCGAAGTTTAGCTATCTACGAAAATTTAATACATTTTGACAACTAAGACAATTACATAGGAACCTAGGACAAACGTCAAAAAGAATGCTTGATTGAAAAATTGTAGGTTTCTATTGATTAAAAATCTGTATCGTAATGAAAAATCTGTATCATAATGGGTATCATTATGAAACGGATTATGAGCATATAAGTGCATTATTATAATACGGGTGTAGAAAAAGTATCATTGCTAACCGATATTAGACATTAGTAATAAGTATTTATTAATAAACAATTCATATTTTACGTACAATTTAAAAATAAAATAGTAGTACAAGGTAAAATAAATATTTCCATCTAAAAAGGAATACAATTGATATATAACAGGTCAAATTAAGTAAGCAGATTTATATTATAAATTTGTAAAGATTTTACGAACCTGGGTTGTCAAAATTTTGACAATAGATTTTCCAATAAGTAAAATTGGCTGTTATTTGGAATAGCAGTTATATAACATTGGACTGGTGCTGTATTTTCAACAGATTTCAAAGTTTGGAGGTGCTACAGGAGCTGAAATAAATAGAACTCTGTGAGTACATTTTATAATCAAAATAAACAGTTAATGGTGTTACTTGTGAATAATACTTACAAAACTTGTACATATTTGATAGAATCCTTGCTTTAGTATATTTCATAAAGAAAGTAGAATTCATATTTGGAATTTTATATATTTTAACCAAATTATTTCTTGAAATAATATATATGTCATATGTCAATTAGAAATGAGGAATTGCTAATCGATTCATGAAAAGGAAAGAATTCTAATTTCTTGAAGGTAAAATAAATCGAATTTAAATCGATTTTTATATTAGTTTGTGTTATGAATGAATGATGACAGAGTGGGTGAAATAATTTCATTGATATAGATATAATATAGATTATATAGTTTGATAGGAAATTTTCAATGTTATTTGTTTTCTAGTTTGAGAAAAGTTGTTAAATAAACTTAAATATCTTGATTTTTAAAAAAATCTGTTTACTTAATACGTACTGGTAATTCATAAAAGAGTAATTTATTCATTTTACAACAATTTGAATTCATTCATAGAAGTGACTTTAAAAATAAATTAAAAAAAAATAAAATAAAATTGACCATTCACTGTTGGGTTCTAATTAACAGTGCTGTTCCTAAAGTGGCGCTGGGAAACAGTAACAAAGCCTACACAGAACACGAGGCTAATGGCCGTAGTAGTCGACGCCGATGACACCAAAATAAAAAAAAAAAAAAAAAAAAAAAAAAATAAAATAAAATAAAAATAAAAACAAAATAAAATAATAAAATAACATAGTGAAATTAAATAAAAATAAAATAATAAAATTAACAATATATAAAATATTAGAAATTTTAAAATAAACTTACCTGAACTCACCTGAGTTTAAGAAAATCTTGTGCTCTGGAAGTAAAACTCACCTTAAGAGGAGTTAAATAAAGGCTATTCGAAGGTAAATATAATAGTATATAAGTATTTTTTTTTTATTTTGAATGTAATGTAAAAAAAAATAAATTTAATATACAAGGGGATAAAAAAAATAACATTACAGTACTTAAGTACTTTTAAAGCACTTAGTTATCTTCTTTCTTCCCTATTTTAAGTAAAAAAGTTCTTAATTCCAAATTTTACTGTTTAAGTATAAGTACAACAACAAAAACTTAAAAATGTAAGTACAAGTACTGGCATTTTTGCAGGTATTTAAAATACAGTATTTGAGTACTTTTTGTACTTAAGTAATTTTTTTAAGTACATAAAGTATTTAGCACTGCAGCTCTGTTCATGGTACATTACCTATTTAAAATTTAGGTGTTTGAGAAGTACAAGGGAGGGGGTTGACTGATGATAAATGTCTGTATTGCAAAAATATTTTTAATTTGGAATAAAAATCTACCTGTTTTAGCATTTTCTTAAAATCCAATGATTGATACTGAAAAACAGGATGAAACTGTTTTGAGTGACTCATTTTGTATATCAAAAATGACTTGATTTATCGATTTAGTTCATGAAACAAAATCTGCTTAAAAATGCATTTTTTACAAGATGCGCTATACAAAAAATATCCTCCCATCGAAAAAAAATTATTGAGCGCCGCGCCATCTACATATTGACCTATTTAAAATCAATTTATATCTAAAACTGAAGCTCCCTTAGTGCTCTGTGAACTGGATTTTACAGAATTAAAATATCTCTATTACTTACAAAAATATCCGGCCTGGGTGTTTTTATTGGTATACCCTGTATACGGGGGGAGTAATGGGGTAACTATCCTTGCGATAATTTTTTAACCCAGCTTTTTATAGGTTTTAAAATGCATTATTATCAAAAATAAAGTCTTACCCCTCAGACTTAAACTTCATTACCACTACTCCCACCATACTTAATCTCTAGATGCGCCACTGATCTTAAATGTCTTTCAAAAGTATCATTTTCTTCCCCTTCCGTAGACTAGGCTACAAGCGGATATAAATCATGGTATTTTTATTTTAATCTGTATATGAACGGATAAATCAAGGATCTTTGACTGAAAATTTGCCAAATCTAGATTCATATACCTACCGATTTTCACATTAATAGTTTTAAATTAGAGGCATGATTATTAGGCTGGATTTATTAAACTTTTTATCCAACTATAAAAGTTGACTTTACACGGAATAATAAATTATTGCTCTTCGTCTTACTTGATTTATTTTGTGAAAGATCGCTCATTAGTAATTTGGAATTTTATCGAAATTCACCAAATAATTAGGTTATTAACGATTCTGATAAATAATATTTAATAAATTTTTGACCTAATAACCTAATAATAAGAATATTATTGAATAATGGCAGATATTGTTGTAAAATGAAAAATTAAATATATATCTATAATTAAAAAATTGTGCAATGTCGAGTTCGAAAATACTTTAATGAAATTACCTATAAATACCGGGAATAAAAAAAGATATATTGTTTAATTTTGACGACAATGATGTTAACACATTATTTAATTCTCGTTTTATTCTTATCGGGAAGTTTTGCACAATACGATCCTCATTTTTCAAACCAACATAATGTGATTGTACAACTATTTGAGTGGACTTGGAAAGATATTGCTGAAGAATGTGAGAGGTTTTTACAACACCACGGATATGGTGGTGTACAGGTATGTTTAAACAATAATAGTTTCTAAAAATGTTTCTATATTTAAAGTAACATTTTTGGGCGACTGTAAAATTTAATGCAGCAATACAGAGTTTACGCCACATACATTGCACACAGTACATTTGAAAATTAAAAAAAATTAATAGTAGTTTGTGCAACAAGAGTGGATTTGAGCACGACGTCGTAGGCGAAGTGCTTAATCTTTTGAATGCGATGTGAACAATCTACTCGAGTTGTACAGAATATTTTTTTACGACCTACTAACGAAAATTTACAAACCAAAAAATATTTTAGGTTATTAAGACAAAATAACTAATTTTAAAAAATGACTTTTAATTATTTTGAAAATAAAATAAAATAAACGAAAAAAAATTTTATTTAATTTTTCCCCATCCGAGAATCGAACTTGAGTCTTCAGTGTGGGAGGCAAGAACGCTAACTACAGGACCACCTATTCTTTTATTTTTTTGTTGCTTTAATACTCGTAATTAAATTGACTTCATATAGTTTTATTTCAATTAACAAATTATTTATAATTATAGACGAAATAAGAAAAGAAATGATATTATTTATCGATTCTACACAAGAATAACTAATGTTAATGTATGTTTAATCTCAATAACTAAAAAAATACTGACAGTTTGACAGAATTTTCTCATTTATTTAAAATTTTAAAAATAATAGCAGTCGGTTAATAAAAAATATAAACGGTGATTTGTGGATTTCATTTTTTACAGAAAATGGATATGAAATATATTCGTTCAGTTGAGGGCAATAGCATATTTTTTCGTTTTGTAATCTGTGCGTAGATAAGGTAATATCCATGTCCCATGTATGTGTAGAAAAAAGCGTTTTTAATTTTTGACAAATTTTGAATTTTGATTTCAAACGTTTAACACCCTGCATCTTGGTAACTAAGCCCTTTACGGGTTTATGTTCCTGTAATAAAAGTCATCAATTAACAAGAGCTCTTGGGGGTAGAGCGTTGTCAGTCAAATATACTAACAATTTAACCACTCATAACCATTCATACCTTAAATTAATTGAAAGTATATGAAAGTGCTGAATTGGTCTGTACCTAAGGGTCATTATGAAAAGATTCCTGATCTGACTGGTACTCAGGTATGGATCCACAACATGTATTACATCCCGTTGGTGGAAGCAATTATGTTACCTGTGAAATTCATAGTTTTTACTGGCAATGAAATATATGATTCTAGACGGCAATACCAATAAAAAAATCCATTTACAAACATTTTCTGCCGTCCGGTTTCACTACTTCCAGTGTAGAGATTACGGTCACGTGACTGAATGTTTATACTTTTCACCGAAATCCGTGATATAGCTTAAACCCGGCTTTTCTGAACTAAAGATTATTGCATACATTCTTTTGGGTCGGTGAAAGGATTGATTTGCAAAAAAATGTAACCTTGAAATAGGTGTAAAATCAGAAGTAAAAGTCAAAAAGTGGTTTAATTGCTTTAGTTAACTAAGAGTATTGCACTTAGAAGTCTTTTTTATTCAGCCTTCTACTTACCCTGGGTTTTCTACAAAAACATATACCCTAAGTTGAGAGACATACAAATATTTTGAGGTAAGATAATCGTGCTCGAAGATACAGATTGGCAGCCTTTAAAAACATTTTCGTTTTCGTTAATTTACGTCTGTCATTATTTAAACAGATTTCCTTAAGATAGTCCTCTAATGTATTTTAATGATCCGTTTAAATAATGACAGAATTAAAGAAGAAAATATTTTTAAAGGCCGTTAAAATATAAAGGAATTGTTACAGAATAGACCCCAGTCTCAGTTTCAATTTTAAATGGAACTGGCAAAAGTTTTATATTCACTAGCCCACAATAAATAGTTACAAAATTAAAATGATAACCTCATCTACACTAAACAACCAAAATTAAAGCTCGCTTGTCGTACCCAATTTAAAAACTAGGTGGAACCAAAAGCAAGGCTGGATATTTTTTAAAAAAGAAAGGGAAATTAAAATTGTTGTCGTGTTAAGTCCACTAAAATTTTGGATTTCTAAAAAACAGCAAGCATTACGATTAAAACAGACGTAAAAGTCAGGAAGCGCAGGTGTTGACGTATTGATGCTACCGTTTTTTGGGCCAGTTTCGTTTATGAGTGTGTAGTTGAAAAATCATTTAAAAAATCATAATTTCAAGACTCCAGGGGCTCCTCTAAATATTATTTTAAATATTTAAAATTGTTGTACCATCATATACAGGGTGTACCAATAAAAACTCCCAGGCCGGATATTTTGGTAAGTAATAGAGATATTTTAATTCTGCAACAGCCAGTTCACAGAGCACTAAAGGAGCTTTAGTTTTAGATATAAATTAATTTTAAATAGGTTAATATATAGATGGCGCTGCGATCAATACTTTTTTTCGATGGGAGGATCTTTATTATGTATCTCATCTTGTAAAAAATGCATTTATAAGCAGATTTTGTTTTATGAACTAATTCGATAAATCTAGCCATTTTTGATTTACAGAGTGGGTTACTCAAAACAGTTTCATCCTGTTTTTCAGCATTAGTCATTGGATTTTAAGAAAATGCTAAAACAGGTCAATTTTTATTCCAAATTAAAAACATTTTAACAATACAGACATCTATCATGTGTCAACCCCCTCCCTTGCACTTCACAAACACCTTAATTTTAAATAGGTAATGTACCATGTATATCACTTAACGGGGAATTCAGAAATATTTCTATACACTGCATTACTTTTTTAATTTTATCGCCCTCTAGTGGTAAAAAAATTATTACGTATTATAGAGTGTGATACTACATTGTGTAGTACATCATTAAAAAGGTAATTTTATGGGGAATTTATAAATATGATTGTTCATTGCGATACTTTTAATTGTAATGCCTTCTATCGGGATTAAAAAAACTACGTATTATAAAGTGTGACACCTTATTTAAAAGCAAATTTAATTACTTATTTAATGCACTACATATTAATATAAATATCCTCCATATTGCACTTGCAATAGTTTTAAAATTAGTCATGCATTATTTTAAACATTATTATTGCTAACTTTATTTTGTTGCAAGTGCAATATGGAAATATTAATATTAATGATATGTAGTGCATTGAATTAGTAATTAAATTAGCTCTCAAATGAAGTATCACATTTTATAATACGTTACAGGTTTTTTTTATCCCGATAGAGGTCGATAAAATTAAAATAATCGCAATAACCAATCATATTTATGACTTTTTCACAAAATTACCTTTTCAATGATGTGCCGTACATGGTACATTCCTTATTTAAAGTTATGGGGTTGGAGAAGTGGAAGGGAGGGGGTTGACACATGACAGATGTCTGTATTGTAAAAATGTGTTTAATTTGGAATAAAAATCGACCTATTTTAGCATTTTCTTAAAATCCAATGATTAATGCCGAAAAACAGAATGAAACTGTTTTGAGTATCCCACTCTGTATATCAAAAATGGCTAGATTTATCGAATTAGTTTATAGAATAAAATCTTCTTAAAAATGTAGTTTTCACAAGATGCGCTATATAAGAAAGATCCTCCCATCGAAAAAAAATATTTAGCGCAGCGTCAATTACATATTGACCTATTTAAAATTAATTTATATCTATAATTGAAGCTCTCTTAGCGCTCTATAAACTGGATTTTACATAATTAAAATATCTTTATTACTTACCAAAATATCTGGCCTGGGAGTTTTTATTGGTACACCTTGTATGACTCCAAAGGCAAGTATTCCGTACTAGCGCTTTAAGATATTTTAAAATTTATAAAAATCTTTTAAGTTCGCTCCACTCTATTGTACACGGTTATGTATATCTTATTATTTGTTGTGTTTAAAAAATGAACTATTTAAAACCATTATTCTATTCTAATATTTTTTATATTTAATGTTCTTTTACTGCTATTATCTTATAAACGTGTTTGTAAATAAAATCACGTTCTTAATTTCGACAAAATACAATAGGAAAAAAAAACACCTTAAAAATTATTCAATTAAGTATATAAAAAAAGCAAATCTAAATCCAGCCACCTTTTGATTAAACCTTTATAGCTAGATTTCTTTGTTCTACATTTTTTTGATAAAAATATTTTATGGTCGTAGAAAATAGTAGTTTGTGCAACAAGAGTGGATATGATGGCCAAATCGCACGAAGAAGAAATTTGAGCATGCCCATCCGAGAATCGGACTCCAGTCATCCGCGTGATAGGCCAGAATGCTGACCACAGGACCACCTAGCCTTTTATTTTTCTTGCTTTAATATTCGTTATTAAATTGACTTCATATAGTTTTATTTAAATAAACAAATTATTTATAATTATAGACGAAATAAAAACAGAAATGCCGTTATTTATAGATTCTACACAAGAATATGTGTATGTAATGTATGTGTAATCTTAGTAACTAAAAAATATACTGATAATTATTTTGACAGAATTGTCAATTATTTAAAAATAATAGCAGTCAGTTGATCAAAATATGAATGGTGATTGGTGGATTTCAGTTTTTGCAGTGTTCCTACTACCTAGAATGGATATGAAATATATTCGTTCAGTTGAAAGCAATAGAATACTTTTTCGTTTTGTAATCTGTGCGTAGTTAAGCTAATATCCATGTGGGTGTAAAAAAAATATTGTACGTCACTTATGTAAAAGTGATTTTTCCACACTCGTAAAGTAATATAATATTTCCACCTATTTACGAGCTCATAAACACTTTTTGACACCCTCATTGGTAAAAATTTAATAGAATGTTTTCTTTCAACTATCAACTATAAATTTTGATTTATTTATCATTGCAGATTTCTCCTCCGAATGAGAACTTAATACTAACAAACAGACCATGGTATGAAAGGTATCAACCGGTGAGTTACGCTCTTAAGACCAGATCTGGAAACGAAGAAAATTTTAAAAACATGACAAGACGCTGTAACAATGTGGGCGTACGGTAATTATCTCATAATTTACATAAAGTAGTATAAAGCTTAAAATTAAACCATTTAGATTTTTAAGACCTAAAATTTTGGTTTTTATTATCCAGGATTCCTGGATAAGTGCTATTGTATCTTGTAGCTCATCAAGGCGGCGGCATAATGTTGCCGTAGCTGCAAGTTACATTCTATAATCGTTACCTCTTTTATTGCTTCCTGGTCCTCCGTTGAAAATTAGGCAGCAAGATGGTTATTTATTCGACCATCCCTTCCTCCGAAAGTAGAAGTGGTTTCTTTTGGCTCCTCGAAGTTTTCTTGTTGAAGGTCATCGATTGCCATTTTTTCTGGCTCGACGTCCTCCACTGTTGGCTTAAATTGGGTAGGAAGAGGGTCCTTTACCAAGGAGTTTTCAGTGTGCCCCGCATCAGCCACTTTTTCGACCTCATAATCAATAAGGTGAACGCATAGCTCATCCTTATTGATTTGGCCTTTACGGTTCCCATGTCTTCGTCTCCGATGCCGAAGACGATGAGATGGCCCTTAGTATCTTTTTTGATTTCATGGTGGAAGGTGCACCATTTCGTCACATGTAAGTTTGGGTTTTGCCCCTCAAGTCGCCTGGGCACAACCTCTTTCTTGTCAAGGTCAGCTTGCGCTTCACCTGGGATCCAGAGAGAGGCTTTGGTGAGCTTGGGGAGTTCGTCCATCCTTACAACTGCGAGTGTTGCTCCTTCCCATGTTTTTAAGGTTGGTACCTTAGTTTTTAGAAATTCCAACAATAGGTCATCGTCGCAGGTTACTCTGATGATTTCACCAGAGTGCGACCAATACCTGAATGTGGATGGCTTGGTTTTGCTGCAGGAGGCGGACAAAGATTGTTTTCTCCAGCTCTCCCATCAGTGTATTTTTGACAAGGATTTATTTTTTGGTAGTTATTTTACCGTATGAGTTATCCTTGTCTATTATTGCTAGTTTCAGGTGGCTCGTAGCTGCATCCTTATTACTTATCCCAGTCAGAACTTTGTGGTCCTGTCTGGGTCTTTCCCCTTCCGGGGCGTTACCTCGGAAGAGGTGTGAGGTCGCGGCTTTTTCTTTTCCTTAGTTGCGTCGTGTTCCTGGCCTCTTGTGGAAGCAGAACTAGCGTCGCTGTCTGGGGACTTGTAGGCCGCTTTTGTTTTGTTTTGTTTGGAGTGAGAGGGTTTGCTGAGGGTGGTGGTTGCCGTAGCACTGCCTGCCTACAGCTTATCCCTCTTCCTCCTCTTTGCTTCAGACCCAGCCTTTTTCTTATTTTCCGTGTGTGTAGAACACGTCCTCTTTCTCCTCAAATTCTATTGCTGCTGGCTTGGTAAACATCTTTAATCTAAAACACTATATATATATATATATATATATATATATATATATATATGTATATCCCAGGCGTTCTTCCCTCAAAACTATAGATACTGAAGAAGTACTTCCCTCTTATATAACTTACTTCCCTCCGATTTTGGAGGGAACAAGGTTTTGCATTAAATTTCAATTTAATGGACTACTAAACCTCCTTCCTAACAACTGAAGAAAAATTGTCTGGAGGGTCGTTTGTATATTTTTGTCGAGGAAGTGGGCAGTTTAGTTGGAGTTTTAACCGGTGGCGTTGCAATCGTCTTTGTATGTTGGAAATTTTGTTCCATGTTCCCTCCACAATATTTTATATAATTTTAATTGAAATAGCGGTTCTTGTTCCCTCCGAAATTCGGCAACATCGCTATTCTATTAGATTCAAGTTAGCTTTAAAGTTACACGTTTGGAGAAATATTTGTGTGTGAGGTGAAAATGACTTCGAGGAGCGAATTACTTGTTAAATTAGCTTTTAAAGAAGGTAAGTCGCATCTATTTTTTAATTATTTATATATTAATAATAAGATGCCTGCATACGCATGGAAAGTTTTGTTTTGTTTTAAGATAAACATTTGCATGTCGAGTGTTTTGGTTAGGTTACAAATATTTTATTTAAATTTTGTTATTTGTATAATTATTGTCCATTTTTTACTATTATTATAGATTTTACAGAAATCAGATGAAATTTGGATGCAGTTTTGTGTTCAAAGATAAGCATTTTGTATCAATGCGTCAATTTATTAACTATACAGAGTAACCTTTAATAGTATAGAAAAAATACTCTATATGACAAATAGATAGATAGATAGATATAATTACATATTAATAATTAAAACGTACTTTTAAATTTTAAACAATTTTTCCTAATCATAATTTTTGATATTGTTAGAAATAAAAGCCACACTGTTGCTCAAAATATACTACTTGTCTTCTGGTTTATAGGTTTTTTATACAATTCAATATTTATTTATTTTTTTGATAACGTATTACTAATAAAGTTGTCGCCAGACTAATGCTAAAATTTTCAATGTTTATAATTTAAAACTACGTTTAAAAATCTCTATATCCCTCTATTCTGAAGGAATTACTAAAAATATTTTGTTATATAAATTAAAATAATCACACGTAAAACCAAATGTCAAAAATTATAGGGTAACCTACTTCCTTTAAAGAACAACTGCTCCATTGGCGAATACCGCAACAGGTATTGAATTATATACAAAGGAAAACAACAGATATAAAAATTTAATTACAACATTCTACCTTTGATTTTGCTTGTTAAGGAGATCATTATTGGACCGAGCGGTTTCGTCCTTAAATATATTTTTCTCAGTTCTAGTCTCTTATGAAATTAACAAGAGCACCAAAATGAACCAATATAATGCTAGTTACGAAGAGACCAAGTATTCCCGTGTTGAAAATGGTAACTCCATCTATTCTTAGTAAGCAAAATTAAAGGTCGCTTGCTAACAAAATGAAAGGTAGAGTGGTGAAATTAACTTTCTATCTTTGTTGTTTTCCTTTGAATTTAATTTAATACCTGCTGCGGTATTAGCCAAAGGAGAAGTTGTTCTTCAAAGGGAGACGGTAGCCCTATAATTTGTGTTATATGGCTTTGAGTTTGATTATTTTATTTTACGTCTTGTTCACATTTGAGTAATTATCTTCCTATTTTCTTCCAAATACTATATAACTAATAAATATGGATTTCTGAATTTTTTACCTGTATATTTTAAACCTTACAGAAGATTTTATGAGAAATATTTATTTTGATACCGTTTATAGTAAAAAAGTTTATTGAAGGGTTCATTATGAATTTGTCAATTTTTAATCACCTTGCAAATGCGTATGTTTTATACTGTTCTTTAAGAAATTTCAGATGTTACAATGGGTAACTTTTTTTGGTCACACTCATTGATTTAAAATGTCTGTAATTCAGAAGTTCAGATTTTTTTATATCTATAATATTAATATAAGGCGAAAACTGAATTTACTTATATTTTCCTAAAATTTTCCAAACTAATGTGTAATGAAATGTATGTAACGTGGAAATATTATTGCATTAGCAATGTTTTCTTTTTAGTTTGTTCTGGTTTAGACGATTGCAACTCTAGTAATGTGCCAAAAACAAAAATCTAAAAACTCTTTATCTTCAGATGACGAAAAACCTAAAGACTTACTTTTTTTCTACAACTAGAGACCATTTAGGATCTACTAACGAGTTGCCTGAACTAAAATCTAACTTCTTAAGTTCTGTTTGTGTCTTTTTTATATCCATTCTGTATTTTTATTAGTACTTTTTTCTACACACAATAAATTTTGTACACATAAATGTTCATAGCACTTTTCAAACGTATTTTTTATGCAGTCACTTTTTTTCACTTTTATGATCGGAAACAAAGAAACAAGTAATTTTAAAACTTGGACTTTCGCAAAATAAACAAATTTTCGTTTCACGCTAAGCAGTAATTGCTTTTTGCTAGAAACGAAAAAAAAATGAATGTCCAAAAATTAAAATTGTTTGTTTCTCTTTCTCTTCTCCTGCTTCTCCTTATCCTTCTTTTCTTCTGCAGTTCTGAAAATATTTATTCTAGTCAATCCCGTAACAAAATAACCGCGTCATACATATATGAATGACATGGCCCCACAGAGTAACTAATACAATATTTTTCTCTAAGAGGCCGCGTCGTTCATATACATATACTCGTATTAATATGACATTAAAAAAAATGCCAAAAAAAAACAGAGAAGTATAATGTTTTTATCAAAATCGAGTAAACATAATTACGCTAGTAAAACAAAAAAAAATTAGTTCTCCGTTTTTACAATTGTGGCTTGGAGGTCAACGTGATTAATGAGAGACCGAAAACTATAATAATCTGTAAAGGAAAAATATATAAATATTAGATTTCTTTGGTCTTTGGCATTCTTTTATTTTTATTTTTAGATAATTCAGAAAGCTGCGATGATTTGCCTTTAACCAAAAAGCACGAACACTTTCAGATCTTGATAATATCTCTGCAAAGAAAACAAAACAGAATATTAAAAAGGGTAAAGTATTGTCATAAAACACAAATTTATAATTTACTTTACAAATGCTAAACACTTAAGTTCCAAACTAATAATAATTATATTATTCGCTTTTATCAAAAAATAAATTAAAAGGTATTATATATGTATTAGCTTTTCTTTTAATTTTTAGGTTGGAGACCAGAAGAAGTACAAATGATTAAAGAATATTTTAAAAGTGATATGGCCCGAAATACTTACCCTTCTGGTGAGAGGATAAAAGAGTTTATTCAAATCAATAAACTTCAACGAAGCGTTCCAGTTGTTAAATCCAAAATTCAACATTTACTTAAATAGCTATGTTTGTCTTGCGTTTTTTAATTTTTATTTTTTTATTTTCAATAACATTGCTTTAGCTGAGAAATGAACATTTATTTAAGCGCAGTTAAAATAAGATGTATTAAGAATTCTTATAAACATAAATAAGTACAAAAATTATAAAAGAAAATGTATTAATACTACTTACCTACTAAAAATGACTCGTCTTAAATATCAATAATAGTATTATTAGCAAAATTAATAACGTGACGCGGTTATATGGAGGTGGTTTTTGAGATATTTGTCAAAT